TCGTGTGGCTATTTCAAGATGAACTTCCATCTAACTCTGATTTTTTTACGTGTGGGAGGCAGTCCTGTGGAGAGGCAGGAAAAGATCTGATTTTTGCCAAGATGAAATGAAAGCGCCAGTAAATGGTTTCTTGATGACATCATTGATATTTGCCCTCCCAGTGTAGATAGGATGARGAGATGTTTTTGGAGTTGGAGGTTGGCTGTGAGAATTCTCTGATTTCTRCTTGGACTCTTGAGTTTAAAATAGTTTGATAATTTTTATTGTTTATATGGAATTTAGGTTGCTCAGAGTAAGCTGATGTCTCCAAGACTGTGCTATGCACCATCTCTGCAATAGCCTTAACATGTTTTAATACAACTTTGGCAGAAAATTTATTCCATCATGTCATGGTTTAACCATGACAGCCATGGTTTAACCAGCAGCCATGCCCAATGGAGCCACTCACTCATGGCCCCAGCAGCAGGATCGGGGAGAGAATCAAAAGAATAAAAATAGGAAACTCATAAGTTGAGATGAATGTCATTTAATAGGAAAGGCAAAAGCCACACACATAAGCAAAGCAAAACCAGGAATTGATTCACTGCTTCCCATGGGCCGGCAGGTTTTCAGCCATCCCCAGAATAGCAGGGACCCACCATGTCTAACAGTGACTTGGGAAGACAAACTCCATCACTCCAAATGTCCCCCACTTCTTTCTTCTGCCCACTTTGCATACTGAGCATGATGTCCAATGGTCTGGAATGTCCCTTTGGTCAGTTGGGGTGACCTGTCCTGGCTGTATCTCCTACCAATCTCCCAGGCACCCCCAGCGTCCTGTCCAGTGTGGCACAGGGAAAGGCAGAAAAGGTCTTGGCTCTGTATGAGCCCTGCTCAGCAATAACAAAAACGTTTCTATTTTATCAACCTGTGTTCAGTGYAAATCCAGAACACAGCCCCATACCAGCCACTGTGAAGGARATGAACCATATCCCAGCTAAAACCAGCACACACTGYTAGGAGTACTTTACTTCTGATCCTTGTCTGGGCTGTGGTCTGGAATTTTTTCCGACCGCATAAAATTTCTTGGGAGAAAAGCTCACCTACCTTGGAGGTTGGGATGAGGGAGAAGAGGACCAGTGTTCACCCTTCCAAAACAATCATATGCACTTGCTTGGATGCATTCTGAGTTTGTCTTGGTTTTTCAGAGTTTAGAYAAGATAGGCTATGGCTTTGCAGGAGATAGGTGTAAAGCAAAGACAAGGCATTTACCCCAAATGCTTTTGGAGAGGGCAATGTATTTTCCTGGGGACTGAATTTGACTTAGCAGCAAGTGTCTCAGGCTGGCGTAGTTTGGTGGGTTTTTTTTTTTTTTAGTGGGGTTTTTTTGTGTTTTGTTTTGTTTGTTGGTTTTCTCTTCCTTAGTAATTTTACTGTTTAAAAATATTCTGATTCAACTTGGTATTATTACAGGATGGCCATATTTTAAACCTGAGGTAGCCTGATCTTTTCTTTTTTGGAAGCAAACTGGCTTACAAGGTTTTTATTGATTATCATTTCTCCTTGTACACACAAGTGACTCATTATACCGCACAGTCAGAGTGAGRGCTCGTAATGATTTGGCAAGAAAGTGCCTCATCAGCACAGCATTACAGTCTCATTGTAAATACAAGCCTTGTAACCTTCAGTGTACACTTGGAATTCAAACAGGTGTTCTCATGCATATATGGAAAGTCRTGGTGGTCAGGTGAAGTCTCTGGTGACTGGTAAAAGGGAATTACCACTTCCGTTTTTAAAAAGAGGAGAAAGAAAGATCCAGGGAACTACAGATCAGTGAGTCTCACCTCTGTGCCTAGGAARAGCCTCCTAGAAGGTGTGCTAAGGCACATAAAAGACAGGAAGGTAATTCAAGGTAGCTAACATGGYTTTAGTAAGGGCAGGTCCTGCCTGACCAATGTAATGATGATGGAGTGACAGCAAGGGTTGACAAGGGGGGAAGGCTGACCAATGTTATCTATCTAGACTTCTGTAAGACCTTTAATATGACATGACATCCTTTTATCTGTGGATGGTGTTCTTTAAGGCCCATTMCAGTCCAAGCCATTCTGTGATTCTGTGATTGTCATTGCTAAACTGAAATGCCTTGTGAAGTTGTGGGAGAGATAAGGATGTTTGTTTTTTACTGCRCAAAATTGTGACACTGTAATTTGTACTTTCTTTTTCTTACAGCTCTACCTTAACAAAGATGCATGATTCATTTCGTAACTTAAGAGGAAAATTAGTCTTTCTCGGCTTTCTTGTCTCTTGGGATTAGGAACACAACAGAACAATGCTGACTGAGTTCGATTCAGTTAATTTTATAAATATTTGCTCAGCAGCATTTGTCAAATTACATTAAATCAGGTAGAAAAGCGGTCAAATTCCGAATTAAAAAAATATGAAAGAGCAATGGACGGACAATAACTGTATAAGGGATGCACCCTTTCCTCCTGTCTGTATCCCAACAYCTATGAATTCAAATGGTTTATTTGTCAAAATTAGGCAAATATGTATCATAAAATTGTGAAGTCTTCTAAAGGTCATTTCATCTTTTTTCTTCACAGGCTGGGGATRTTTTATGCACATTGCAAAAGATTCTATGGGTTTGCTGTGCCACAGCTCCCTCAAGTGGTAGAARAATTTTCCATTTGGAATTGCAGCTTGATTTCTGTGAAACACCAGCATTCTCTTCAAAAGATTTTAGGGCTTCTCCCAACTTAGTGTTCTGTCTGATTTATAAYAGAAACCTCAGAGTTCAAAGAACAGGAGTCTGAGCAGGAAAGAACTCGAGCTTGCTATACGTGGGTTCTCAGTGATCTTTGGCTAGAAAATGCACTGCAGTATTACTAATGCATCAGGAATTTCAAGTTTCTCCCTATAAGAAAGCACAAAACATGTTTTCTACAGTTGTCTGACATAATCATGTTGTGCTTTGATTAGAAAAGAAACAGTACTTGATATTCAGACTTAATATGAAAATGCAGGTGCATGTGCATGCGTATGCAGGATCCTCAGTATTAATGAGCTTTGCTTCATCATGTGAAAGAAACCAGTGGTAGTAAAATGAACTGTTGGATTACTTTACATGTTCCTTATGAGTTCAGGAATCTCTGTTTAATTTCTGTTTATTTGAAACAAYGGTCTGTGTCAACCTTGGTGATAAATGTGGTCCTTACTTAATTTATAGGGCAACAAATGTACAAACATTTTATTGTTTTCACCACGCTTCCTTTTAATTTGGAAACGGAGRTGAAATTTATGCTTGAGTAGTTAGKGTAATATTTCGGTAGTTAGCRTAATATTTCAGAATTATRTATTGCTTTTCACCTTGAAGGATTTTAAAATCTTTTTGCAGACTAGATACACACAACAAAGCCAGGACCATTCCAAGAATGTTTTCCCTGCAGAAACCTCTCTGATATGATTATTACCTTTTTTCAGTGTTTTTTTTTTCTGCTGTCTCTTTGTCATGCTTCTCCCATTTACCAGTGAATATCCTTCTCCTTAAAATTCACCATTTCACCATTCACACCATTTAATTACTTTTTCTTTTAGTTTTTACCTATATTTGCTTGTTACATTTGAAGGGAGTCACTYAGTCCTACCTCTTTGCTATAATTTGTACATGTTGAGAAAAGCATTCCYTTAGAAGTGACTGCACTTAAATGTTCTTTTTAGTATGGTGATGCATAGGGTTCTAMTGAAGTGTGTGAAAACTGCATCCTGTTGCTCTGATTTTGAAAGTTGTTGATAATCAGTTTCTGTAATTGCCRTTATGGAGGTTTTGCAGGACTTCAAAATCTAAGACTAGTGTTTAAATACAGCTTAAAGGAATGCTGAGAGCATTCACTGTGGGGGTGGATTGGTCTTTCTGTACGAAAAAGTGAAGTCATAGGCACTCYGTYCTTTTCTTTTGTGGARCACTGAGCTGCTACCTAAAGTTTGAACTTGTTTCTGTCATGCAAAAGACAGGTTAGCTGTTTRTAGAAACAACAGAGTGTGCAAATTACCCAGACATATCTCTTGTCCCTTCTCCACCTCTATTGTCAGGAGTGTTTATCATRGGAACAGTGGTGCTGCAAGAGCCCTGCTTAGGAGCTCCTTCCAATATGGATGTGTATAGATAGCCTTGTGAGTTTTTCTGGAGTAGAATTAGGATGTATGCAATTGCAGACAAAACACTGATTTTGTGAAGAAACTTAGAAGACTAACTGTAGAAAAGAGGAACACAACACTTAAAACACATTCATTTCTGCATTCTGCATTTAATTCTCCTTTACAGCAACTAGAAGAATTATGTTAATAGTATAAACATTTTTTTTACATGTAAATTTGCAGTAACAATGCACTGAGCATTTTTTTGGTCAAAGGGCTTGATGAAAAGGAATCAAAAGGAAATACTATTGAAACCATGAGATTCTGCATTCTGAAGACCCCTTTTGATTTTCCTTTATGTGGAAGAATATATGGGAGCATGTTTTAATAATCCTACAACTGCAAGAAAATATAGAGGGATCTGTCTTTAACCTTTGAGAATTTTCAAAATTTGTAGATATTATGTTTTGAAACTGTTTTGCAGATGTCACTGTTTCTGAGCTGCTTCATCTTGATAATCCATCTGTAATATGATGCCAGAGCTAGCRAGGGAAAGGGCAGTGGTGGGAGCTCAGATAAAGGTCACTACTCCAACTTGCTTCTCTGATAGCTRTAAGGAGAAACTTTGAAAGAGATGTAGCATGATCTCTTGTACAGCAAGTGAAAAGCTGAGGGTCATGTAGGAACCAGAATGGTGTTTTGGGCTTCGGTACACCATTTCAAGGAAATGGGGCAAACCCAGTGATACATGAAAATAAAATAGTGTAACACTATTCAGCTGTTTTGCTGTTAAAACAGCAAAAAATGAAGCCTTGTGTGAATATACAGAAGATTAATTAATGTCATAAATGCAGGAAAGGTGATGACTTTTTTTTTTTTGTTTTCAGGTTTTAAAATGTCTGATCAGAAAAATATTGTACACAGAACTCATTGTATTGAAAAACTTCTGTCTGAGAACAATTTTCAAGATATTGAGGATCACCTTAAAGAACTTGAAGATGTTGATATGACTGTAGAATGTCTTCAGGGAACAGAAGTTACCAARGCTGTATACAGAGTGCTCAAGAGCTGCCCTTCAGGAGTGTTGAAAAAGAAAGCAAAGCAGTTATTATCAAGGTGGAAAACACTTTACAAGATTAACTGTGCTCAGTCAGTGCAAGTTAAAAAGTCAGTTTCTATGTGTGGGAAAGAGGAAATTGAGCATCTCAGTGTAGGTACTAAAAAGCAGTTGCTGTCTGAAGGACCACGTCAGCAGGAAACATTAGATGGTACTAGTTCCAACATTTTGGTCCCATCAGAAACTGTTAAAAACATGGTATGTAACAATGCAGAAGGCAGTRTGAATCAGCATTCTTCTTTTGAGGAACAACACACTGCTCATGAAGATTCTAAATCTGTTGTTAGTGAAGCAAGYATGCAGCAGGATCTGATGAGAGCTCTGAGGTGTAAATGTGTGGATCTTCTTTATAAAGCCTTGATTGGTTCTGCCAAGGAAGAAGAAGAAGAAGCTGTTAAATGGCTAGAATTAGCTAAAGAAATTGAAGAACATATTTTTGCTCTTCATGCTAAAAATGATAAAAAGTATAAAAATTGCATCAGAAGTAAGATCTCTAACCTGAAGAACCCTAAAAGCTGCCACTTAAAACATAACCTTTTTTCAGGAACTTTGAGCCCAAAAGCTTTTGCTGAGATGACAGTGATGGAAATGGCRAGTGATGAACTGAAACAGCTCAGGGCTCTGTACACAAAATCATCCGTTCAGGAGCATCAGCTTCCACAGGTTATTAATGGCACACAGACAAACAAAATAAAGTGCAGGCGCTGTGAAAAATTTGATTGCACTGTCACTATGATTGCCAGAGGAACTCTATTTCTWCCAGCTTGGGTGCGAAACACAAATCCAGATGAACAAATGTTGACTTACGTTATTTGTAATGAATGTGGAGAACAGTGGTATCACAGCAGATGGAATTGTTTGTAATGCTATCCCACTTTAATGAGTAGTTTGGAAACATGGGTAGGAGAACATACCTCTGTTGAAACTCTGTAATTTTAAATTCTGTATTGTTCTTTTATGTTTTCAGTGGCAGTGGGTGCTGCCACTGAAAAACTGCAAAATCAGCTTAAAATAAACATGATAATGTATTTTTAAAGATGACTTAAATGAATCTTACATTTTTTTAAAGTAATGTAAATATGTAAAGAAATAAAAGGGTAAAGGGAAAAATGGTTACTCTGTATTTGAGTGARATATTTGCTAGTAAATCCATTAAAAATATTCTTGTGTGCATTGCAGAATGTTCAGTGTGGATTCAGGCATAATTAGATCACTTTTTGCAAGTAAGTGTTGGATTATTAAGTTGGTTTGAGAGGTGCTTTCTAACAGGGAATAAAGAAACAAAAAAATGGAGCATTAAAGGGGGAGAAAGCAGCTAGCAAACAAAAGCAAAAATGAAATTCTGCTTTAGTTTTTTTTTAGCTATTGGAAGGAAAACAGAACTTGTGACAGTCTATCAGTATGCAGGCCAGATTTACAATGTGTAAATTTACAATGCAGTAGCTGTGTCCAGCTACTGCAAGGAAATTAATGCAGGATCAGACAATGGATTATTTCAGAAAATTAGGTAAATATATTATTTGATTTATGTTTATTTAATAAATAAAATTAATAGGTGCTAATAACTTTTTGAGTGGATATCCTCTCTGCACCTGGAACATCTGTCCTGAACTGAGAAAATTAATGTTTTATATAGCACGGGTTACCCACAAACCAGTGAGTAGAAGGAAATCGAATAGCAGAAATTTTTATAAATATTTTTGTTCAAGAGTCAACAGGATTCTGACTGTTTGTTTACCAGAAATGTTTATTTTGTCACTAAAGTAAGAGACCTCTATATTTTACAAATGCCCAGCAGGCATTTTGCGCTTCAAGGTTAAAATATATCGGCAGAGCAGAGAAACTTGCTAAGTGTTTGCTGGAGGAATTGAAAACAGTTTTGCACCCATCTGGMACACAGCTGATGCTAGTCAGATCCTCTGGGCCGAGCTGCATGACCTCTCAGAGAGAGGAGTTGGGGACAGAAGATGAGGAAACAGCTGCTGGTGARCTAAAAGCCAGCCAGGACTGAAAGACAGGCCTTTGCTGTATATGGGGAAAATGATGTGTAACCTGATGTTGCAAAGAGACACTTAAACTATTCTACTGTAAGARAGAAGAAAACTCTTTCAATTCTGTGAAGTGTTAATAGTTAACTTTCAGTGGCATTACTTAGATTTTTATCATGTAAAAACGTGTGCTTTAGGGRAATTGCACTGTAAAATGCACATTAAAGCTTTAGGCCAGACCCCCAGTGTTGAGCTGTGTAACCAAGCAGTTACTGTCTGGCCTTCCTTCCCAGCCCTTGTGTGCTGGAATTAWTGCTTACAAGTAGTCCTGCTTGTTTAAGTGGGAATACTTTTGTGTAAAGTATTATTGTTAGCTTTCAATGAAACTACAGAAAAGCAAACACTCCCGTGTCAGTGGTTCACAGTAAGCACAGGATTGTGTACAGTCATTTTGAAGGTCATGGTCCTGTTGAGGAGAGCTTTATGCCAGCACTGTGCTGTGTCAGAACACCATGTAGCAGAAGACTTTATTTTAGCAGTGAGCARCTTATAAATAATTTCTGCCTGCAGTTGGTTTTGAAGTCATTCCAGTAATGTAGAGCTCATCCAAGTTTTATCTTGGCAAAGGGAAATGTTACAAGGCATGGAGGGTGTTTCTGACAATATATTTCAAGGGTAAAATTTGTATCTGTAACAGTAACTACATTTGTAATGTAACAGGCAACATCATTTTCTTTTGAAGTCACCATTACCAAATGTGTAGTGCTGAGCTATATCTACAGATCCTTATTTACTGAGCAGCTAAGAAAATGTAAAAAGCAGCTCATCAAGCCTGCCCCAATGCAATTTGAATGACCTGAGCCAGCTGCAGCAAGAGGGTCATTTCGTTCTAGCCTTTCACATCTTCTAAAACATGGAAATCATAAAATCCAGATATTAACAAGTGCAGTTGCAGTTTGTGCTATAGAAACYGTAAAGTTAGTAACTGCAAATAGTCATCAAATGCATTATAATCATGTCACTTATAAAACTATCCCTTAACTTCTCTTTCAAACTGAAAAGTCAGAATTCAGGGCAAGTCCTTGCACCCTTGAAGTTGTAAACTGAGCATTTTAAAGTAGTTTTCCATGGTAATAGATTGTATATAGGCATTCCTCCATCACTTTCCTTCCCAATGACAATTGAAGAACCCAAGATCTGGCTTTGCAGCAAATCCAGTTTAGGTATTAAAAGATGAGAATATATTAGGTAAATTTTGTGAAATCCAGTAATCATGAAAAGAGTTTCTATTCTATTGAAAGAGATGTAGCCTTTAGCCTTTTTTCAGGAGTTACCTAGTCTAAGCTGCTAGCTGCTGATTTGAGATACACATAGTTTTTAGTATTACCTAAAAACCAGGCACAAAATATACAGCCAGGCTGCTTGTCCAGATAGTAGTCTGGAACAAGGACGAGATCTGGGACTACTAGCAGGAAAAAAAAAAAAAAAATGAAGAAGATATTGGGAGGCAGGGAGAGTGAACTGGGCTTTATTAAGTATGCTGAGGACACAAATCTCTAGGAAATGAGGCTTTGTTGTTCCAGGGCTGGTGAAAAAGCTCWTCTAGGTTCAGCTTCACTTTATGGTTGGTTCATGCTGAAAAAGGTGCTGCCACAACTTCACATTAACAGAGAAATGTATACAAAATCATCAATTATTGTAATATCTTCTTGATCATCTTATACTTTTGATTATTTTCACCTAGCACAGTTCTTTACCAATTTGGCCATTTTTTTTATCTGCATTTGTATCTGATGCTCATTACTTGACATCTGCTTTCTACTAAATATTTCATGTGTGGCAGCACTCACTGCTATATGAGAATAGTCTACAGCCATGAAATGCCAAGTATKAGAGATGGTCATTCAAGTAAATSATTGCTCTTATCTAAATAGGTGTGGTCATAGTTTCACTAAGCAAAGTACTGCTCCAGGTCACAGTGTGTCAATAGGTTATAATGTTCCTACCCAGATTGTGTAACTGTGCAGTCTTAAAATAATTTGACTGGCTAAGATTATACACTTTGTCTCAAAATGTCTTTAAAAAGCCAGCTTGCAACTTAGATAGTGTGTACAGCAGCAGGAGGGTGTAGATCACTGGAGTACAGGGAGTATAGAGTCCAGAAACAAAAGAAAAGCTTTAAAAAGTGAGAATATTTTATTTTGTGGAAGTCTCCTTATTTTCAGTTCATTCCAAGTGAGAGAAAAATCTCTTTAACRTTTTTATGCAGAGACAATTCATTTGGGTATGATGTTTAGCATGTCTGTGCTGCTGTTCCTACAAGGAGTATGATATTAGAGGTGATCCACACAAATATAGGACAAATATATGCTGAACAAGGCCAAAGTCTGTATTTGTCTTCACGGTTTTCCAGAGATGCTGTAAACTTTGCTTCTTGAATCTTGTGATTTAACAGCAGCAATAAAGTCTTAATATAAATTGTACTCAAAGATCAAGCAGCCTGTAGCTACAGAACTTGTGATATATATCTTAAGAAGGCGAGAGCTAAATTAACAATGAATTTCACACAACTTTCAATGTGAAAACAAAGATCTTATTCTATATCTRAAGTGCTCTGTAAATTCTAATCAATGTCGCTCCCTTAACACCAGTAACAAAACTCCTTCTGGTTCCTAGAGATCCACTGYCAGATCCATTTCTTTCTGTTCTGTCAAATGCCTTTGCTATCTCTCTCAAAACCCTCTCACTGTCCACTTCTTAGGGAGGTATTCAGCTGCCATTTATTTATAACTCTTTCTTCCTTTCAAAACCAAAAGGAAATTTGTGCTGTTTATTTTTTATCTAAAGTGTATTCCTTTCTGTCTGCTGTGCTATGTACATTTGCTGCTAAAGCAAAGAACTGCAACTCTCTAAACAAAGAAACAGCTCTTGTTTTGTGCCAAGAAGGAAAGTTACCTGGTAACAGGCTGTGGTTAAGGCACAAGTATGTTGAATTACAGTCCTTCAGGGAATCTTCAGGGTGTAATGGCCCAATTCTTCACTGACCAGCTGGAAGATAAGGGAAGAAACAAGAGCACTTTGATAATTTCTTGGATTGCTTGGGATCTGGCTTGCTGCATTCTGGTATTAATGGAGCCATAAAGGCAGATGACTTCATATCCCCTTATTTTGTACTGCTGTAATTCAGCCAAGAGGTGACAAAGTCATGTTTTACTGAGGCCATGTCACTTGCCAGGATGGGACATAGTCTCCTTGCCAACTACAGACGGTAAAAAAGTATTATTCACAAGCTCTTATTGTAAGAGAACTTTGCTGATGCAGAACTTCCCCTACTCACACAAAAAAGTGGCCTTTTATTTGCCACTGGATGTTTTTTTGTGCTGTTCTCTCTGACGTGACATAACAAAACTACTTCATGAATACACCTCTGTGAGCAAAAATCCTTGAGGTGCAATGTCAGCTTTCAGATGAAGGTGAACGTGAGGGAGCAGTAAGGGTGGGTTGCTSCACAGGGGAAGGCGAGGGGTGTATAGTGGGTGACAAGGCATGCAGGGACAGTGGCTGTAGTTAAAAGGGCAGCTGTAGTTAAAGTCTGGCAGCATCCAAACATGAGCGAGACAGGTCTGTTGACAATAATCTGCCAAAACTTCAGTGAGAGCTGGGCAAGTCTGGGAAGGTGCTGTCACGTGGAGGCTGGAGCACAAACTGGGGGGCAGGAACAGAGCCACCAGGCTAGTACAGCGTCTGAGCCAAAATGGGGCTCTTGGTGGCAGTGGGAGTATGAAGCAGCTGCCCCCATCAGCACTTCCCCAGCCCTGCTTCCCCACGTTGGGATGGTCAGGCAGCAGCCTCGGGCAGGGACAGGCCCTCAGCAGCCACCATTGGGACACTGTGCTGTCTGCAGAATTTAAACAGGTGTGATCTGCAGAATTTAAACACACCTTTCAAGCCACATCCATCCTTGGCATGTTCTTCTGTCTGACCTAAGGACTGGCAGGTGTATTTCATGTGACCTGCTCTATTAATGGCATTGTGTGTTCTACAATTTTTGATTGCTCTATATCAACTGTTGGGTTTGTTACACACATAGTATGTAACAGAGTGGACACAGGGAAAAGGCCCTTCRGCTCCTGATCCTCAAGCACTCGTGTGTATTATAATCATGAGAGTAACTCTATGATGCTCCATTATGCCTATAAAATCATAAGCATAGTAGCTATGATTAAACCATGGTTCTTTTCTATTTTCTTCTACATTCCCATGTAAAAGAAATATAAATACATCTTATTTAAGAAGTTCAAGCATTTTGTTTTTGTCTAGAACTTGAAAAAATTTAAGTACCTGGACAAGCTGAAGAAATTCATGTCAGCCTCAGGAAGATCAGTGAGGCCAAGTGCAAGGTGCTGCACCTGGGTCAGGACAACCCCTGATGTCAGTACAGGCTGGGAGCTGAATGGATTGAGAGCAGCTTGAGGAGAAGGACTTGGGGTGCTGGTAGGTGAGAGGTTGGACATGAGCTGGCAGTGTGAACTTTGCCCAGAAAGAATCAAAAGAGGGAGGTGGTTCTGCTCCTTGACTTTGCTCTCATGAGACTCCACCTGCAGTGCTGCATCCAGCGCTGGGGTCTCCATCACAGGAAGGACTCAGACCTGGTGGAGCAGGTCCAGAGGAGACCACCGAGATGATCAGAGTGCTGGGGCACCTCTTGTATGAGGAAAGGCTGAGACAGCTGAGGTGCTTCATCCTGGAGAAGACTCTGTAAAGACCTCATTGAAGCCTTCCAGAACCTAAAAGAGGATTTATGAAAGTTGGGAACAAACTATTTTTAGTGGGACCTGTTCCAGTAGGATGAGAAAGGAGCATAGATCCAGAGTGGACAGACTGACTATATTCAGACTAGGAGAAGGGTTTTTTTTTTTATACAAAGTTGCCCAGAGAGATGGTGGCAGGGCTCTGAGCAATCTAATCTAGTTGAAGATGTCCCTCCTCATTGCAGGATGATTGGATTACATAGCTTTTAAAGGTGCCTTCCAAGCCAAATTATTCTGTAATTCTAAATTTCCTCACATGTATCCAATGTATTTCAAAACAAAATCCAGTGTTGTTTCAAAACATAAACATGGTAGCTTCTCCTCCAAAGGTATTAAGTGCAAAACAGAGTAATTATTTCCTTCACTTCTAAATGCAGCTTTTTATTCTTTTTAAATCATAAAATAATGCCATAACTGATCAGAACTTATGTACCTTATAATTACCATCATTTAAAATCCACTTTCCTACCTCTCCAGCACTTGTATTTTACTCAAGAATTGGATGAAAGCATATTCCAGGAAAGAAGTACTTAAAAATTTTTACAGTCCAGATTTGTTACATAAAAGTGGTTCTCATATGATCATATTTGCCTCTAGCATGGACTTCCTTTTAATAGTCCTGTCTCCTTCAGTAGGAGACAYCTCCTTTTGGCGACACTGGGATCTTGTTTTCCATTCCTTGGGCTGTGTTGTTTGTCTGATCCAAAAGAAGACAGCTCTACAAGTGGCAATTCCAGTCTGATTGCATCTGCCTTATGATCAGAAGCATGTGATGACTACTTGAGCAAATGGGTGTACTTATGCTTGTCATCACCTATCCCTCTTCATGATGTGGGAACCTCTTTAATTTCTTGGGTTTTTTTTTCATTTTAATTATATTTTGCCCTCGTGAGGAGGTTCTAAGAGCACAGAAAAGACTCTTATCACTGTGTCCTTTAGCCTTTTTTCCTGTGATCTTGTTTAAACAGTCAAGTTGGTGTTATTCTGAATTACTACAGGAAAATAAAAGTGCCTGGCTACTGCTTTTAAATAGCWTTCTTTGTATTTCCATGAATTCCTTCGTTGACACAAACAGAGTCTTAAATGTTTCTGCTTGTGCAGTGAAGCTGCCTTACAACCATGAGTTTACGTACCTGGGGCCCTTAGAGGGGAGCACAGTGAAACTACTGCCTTTATTAAATAACTCTGACTCGCAAATGCTTTATAAAGGTGTTTTAGATCTTAAAAATGCAGGGCATTCTAGGGCAAATAAAAGTGTTATCCTTTCCAGTGGGACACTCTCAGACAGCACACGATGGTGTTCAATGAGAGGTATGGCCCTCAAATGGGCCTTTCCGTTCCCTAGCGGAGGGCACAGCCGTTCCCATTGCCCCCACTGTTCCCATTGCCGCTGTTCCCATTATTCACATTCCCACTGTTCCCCCTCTCGCCATTGCCTGCTGTTCCCATTGCTCCCATTGCCGCTGTTCCCCCCTCTTCCCATTTCCCACTGTTCCCATTGCCTGCCGTTCCCATTGTTCCCATTCCCACTGTTGCCCCTGTTCCCGTTGCCTGCCGTTCCCATTGTCCCCATTCCCGTTGCCCACTGATCCCATTGTTCCCATTGCCCGCTGTTCCCATTGTTCCCATTCCCACTGTTCCCGCCGTTCCCATTGTTCCCACTCCCACTGTTGTCCCTGTTCTTGTTGCCTGCCGTTCCCATTGTCCCCATTCCCRTTGCCCGCTGTTCCCATTGTTCCCATTCCCACTGTTCCCGCCGTTCCCATTGTTCCCATTCCCGCTGTTGCCCCTGTTCCCATTCCCGCTGTTCACGCCGTTCCCATTGTTCCCATTCCCTCTATTCCCCCTGCTGTTCCCATTGTTCCCATTCCCTCTATTCCCCCTGCTGTTCCCATTGTTCCCATTCCCTCTATTCCCCCTGCTGTTTCCATTGTTCCCATTCCCCCTGCTGTTCCCATTGTTCCCATTCCCTCTATTCCCCCTGCTGTTCCCATTCCCCTTGCTGTTCCCATTGTTCCCATCCCCTCTATTCCCCCTGCTGTTCCCATTGTTCCCATTCCCCCTGCTGTTCCCATTGTTCCCATTCCCTCTTTTCCCGCCGTTCCCATTGTTCCCATTCCCGCTGTTCCCATTGTTCCCATTCCCTCTATTCCCGCCGTTCCCATTGTTCCCATTCCCATTCCCGCTGTTCCCATTGTTCCCATTCCCCCTGCTGTTCCCATTGTTCCCATTCCCTCTATTCCCGCTGTTCCCATTGTTCCCATTCCCGTACTTTCCCGCGGCTCCGGGCTGAGCACACGCCCCGCCCCACCCTCGCTGGGGGCGTGGCCTCCGGCCGATGGGCGGGGCCGGGCGCGCGCGGTGTTCGGTCACGTGGTGTCGTGGCCCCGCCCCCTGCGTGTCCGCCATGTTGGTTCCTTCCGCAGCGSCCGGCGGCGGTGGCGTAGCCCGGGACCGGGACCGGCGGCAGGAGCGGCCACAGCCCCTTCCCGCGGGCAGGGATCGGCCTCCCCAGCGCGCCCGGGAGCGGCGGCAGTCCCCTTCCCGCGGTCTGGAGCCGAGTCAGGTTGTGTTATTTTCCTTTCCGTTGCTGCCGCGTTCCCGCTCGCTGCCCGCCGCTGTCCGAGATCCCGGGCGCGCTCCGCGGTGCTCCTTGGCGCAGCCTCTGGGGAGCGGGAGGGCAGCCCCGGCCGGGCCCGCGGTGGGAGAGGGCCCCGGGCGCTCCCAGAGCCGGTGCGGGTGGCGGGGAATGTGGCGTGATCAGGGATCCCGTGACTCCGGGGCAGGCGGTGACTCCTTTGGGAAGCGGCTCCAGCCGGCTCATGGCCGATCGCCGACCCCGCAGCGCTTCCTCACCACTGAGAAATATCCTGGTCTGTCAGGGTGAAACTCGGCTTCGTACCTGAGTCCTCAACAYGTTTAAGTTTGGGAAAAGAAGAAATATTAAAGCTCCTCTTATCTCCTTTTCCTCGTCACTGTGTGCCTGGAACGGGCTGCCCAGCGAGTGGTGGAGTCACCGTCCCTGAGGTGYTTAAGGAAACACTGGACGTGGCACTCAGTGGCCTGACAGGGGGTGATCGGCCATAGCTTGGTCTCGATGAGCTCAGAGGACTTTCCACCCTAATGGATTCTGTGCTGAAGAGGGGCACCTGCTCAGGGCGCGCTTGGGTTTCAGTTCTTCTTTTCTGGAGCAGTGACTCGGCTCAGCCCCTGTGCAGGGCCGGGGGAGTTCCCGGTGGCTCTGCGGGCTCAGGTGTGCTGAGGGCTGGCGAGGGCAGGGACAGGGATGGGCCAGGCTTGGAATCACTTATGGCTCAGTGGTTAATGGGCGGCTCTCGGTGTAAATAATTCCGTGTTACGTATACCTTGCGCAAAACAATTCAGTGGTTAACAGAACAGTGCAAGAAAACTAGTTTTAAAAGCCTCCATTAGTGGCCTTTATAGCAAGGTTRCATAAAACTAGATACATAGAGAGCRTTTAAGTTTTATTAACTTGGGTGGGACAGTCAAGTAGGGAACCTCTTGACTAAATTTCATTYAGGAATTAAAATGCTTCTCTGCAGATAGCTGTCATGCAGCCTCCCCTCCTACGTGTTGTTTTCSTTCTTGTCCACAATAATTTACAGCTACTAAATAAGCATGTGGGTTTTATTTGTCTTTACCTTTAAAGTATTGTGTAACACTGAAGTTGTTGGTGCTTGCTTTTTTTAGAGCAAGGGTGGCTCTGTGTGACTGGGGTTTTTTGGGGGGGGGGTTTTTGCTAAATGTTTTTTCATTACTTTTTAATCGCTTGGAAAATAACAAGCTGTAATGTCAGACTGGAGGGAGAGGAGACATACCCAAAATTACTCCAAAACTTTTTTCTTAGCACTTCTATTTTCAGAGAAACCTAACCAAAGGATGGTACAGCTATTATCTGTGTGTCATACCAACATCAAATTTATAATGAACTGTCACTTTTATCTGTCTTCATTCAGGTTGTATGGAGCTGGCTTTGCAGTCTCAATTTTAGTAAAGCCTTTTCCATAAAGTTCAAAAGAGACAGTGTGTATTTAAAAAAAAACAAACAACTCTAGCACTCATTTTTTTGCTTTTGAGTACTGAAACACCATCAGTTTCCTTAAACAGAAAATATGTGGAAAAAAAGAATTGCAGAAGGTCAAATAAGATATTTAGATTTCAAGCTTTGTTTGTGTCAATTCAGTAATAAATCATGGGAAACAGGTGTTCCAGCTCCTTAGGATTGGAATTTTACATAAATGTTTCACAATGAGTGAAAACTTCCCAGCAAAAAGGCTTGTAAGATGTCCTTAGGGTTGATTGGTTTGTTTGCTTTGTTTTTTTTTATTAGTGTTCATTCTCTTCTGTGTTTTGTTTTTGTTTTCATTCTCTGCAGAGCAGTGTGTTGGCCTGGTACAGTGTAACCCACTTAATGCCTTCCTTAGGGATGGGCTTTCGTCACAGTTATACTGGGAAGAATATGAATGTACAAGGTAGCCTGACCAATAGAGGCTGCTATTATTAAGATTCCCTGAAAGAAAAGGGAAGCTAATGCAAGGGAGAAAGATGAGCACATTTGAGCAGAAATAATTGCTGGATAAGTTATTRAAAGAGTGGAAACAGTAACAGAGAAGTACGTTGCAGAGAGAATGTCAAATAGCTCAGGCATTGTTAGCAATGTTGGACCGAGAGCAGCAGCACTGAAGGATGTTTTGAAGTTGGCTGAAAGTAATAGAATATTTAAGTTGGAAGATGCTTAACTGTGAGCTGCTGAGAAATTCTAACTGTGATTAAATCTGAATAAATAAGTTTGCTCATTCTGTTTGAACTTGGGGAATGAGGTTGGAAGTGAAGGTTAGGCCTCTTCAAGATTAAACTGGCAGAGACGTAAAGGTCGTTGTTTCTCCTGACAAATTTTGCTGATTGATTTTTTGACTAGCTATAAGTTAGAATAAATGAAATTATTCTGGCAGTAGGTACTTGAACGAATTCATGATCCAATGGTTATGTGAACTTCAGGATTCCTTCCCTTGGCTGCTGGTTCTTTCATAGTCCTGAGTCATGCCAGGCAACTGTTTGAAATAAAATCCTGAACTTCACAGGAGTTAAARACAGCCTTATAAAGAAACCCCCAAATACAATATTTTTGATATCCAAATGAGTGGCAACAGCTGAATGACAGTTCATTTTGGGTTGGGTTCATATGAGAAATTACAAGCAAATTCTAGTGACATTCTGGTGTTAGTTAGATCAAGCATGTCTAGGCTGCTTACAACTAGAGGCAGTTTTCAGATAGTCTGTTTTCTTTTGGATAAATTTTAATAATTTGCTGACAGGTTATCTTCATAGTGCAATGGTGAAATCACAGATACAGGAAGGAAGGTTTGCAAGGAGATTAGGACCTTGGTAGGTCGAGCTGTCTGACTGAAGAGCTTCCAGGCAGCTATCAAGTGGCTGTCAGTAAAGGGGTGTTCCTGATCCACAGCTCTTACGTCAGTGCCCTGTGGAGGGGAGGGTCACTTTGGAGGCGGACTAATGTCTCTGCTTGTAACACATTCAAAAGTACAAAGCCTGTAGCATCTTGACTTCATATCTGGACGTTTTCCTTTGAATTGAGAGAAAAGTCCTTCAAGGTCAAACAGGCTTATGGCCTCTTCTGCACTGAAAAAAAAACCCACCATTATTGTGCATCTTAATTGACATGGRTGTAAACCACTACCTCCTAAATATAAGAACAAGGATTGGCTAAGGGGAGAAAAGTGAGAAAATTTGCTTCTGTCCTTTCTTTTCAGATTTTTGGAAACTTGCAGATCTACTRTAGGCAACAAGCTTAACCACTGTAGTGATTGAGGGCTGAGAAATGTAAAAACTCCACAAACAGTAAGTGTTGAAAACTAGTAGTTTACCCAAAGTAGTTTTGGATTCTGCCCTTTCTGCTGCAACTCTTGTAGTTCTTGGGACTTCTTTTCAGACATTTCATGGAGGAGCAATTAATGTCATTCTTTGATGGACTACTGTAACTAACACACTACATTTTCTGTGCTAGCTTGGGAATTATTGTCAAATGCTTTGTTTGTATAAAAAAAACCCGACTACTAATGAGGGAGGGAGTTTACATTTCTACTGAAAGGCAAGTGATTTTTTCAGTCAAAATACTTGCAGTGGTGTGCCTTTTTAAACTTTAATCTGATACTAGTGGCTTAACAAAATAAGGTGGCTTAGCAAATAAAATTGTGAATAAGCTTCAAAATTGAAATGYATTTGCTGTATATGCATAAATTTGAGGATAGGAAGTTACAAAACATTGTCAGTGTTAGGCTGGTTGTAGAACTGCTAATTCTGCTTGTCCATAACTTTAGTGTTTTTTCTTAAATCAAAGATGGCTCCTTTTTTCAGTAAGTCCTGGCTCATAGCATATTAAGTTGTAAACATGATTAGTTGGAACAACTTGAGTCTGTCTTACTTCTAACAGCTTCAGTTAAAGGACRGTGTACCACATATTCTCAAGAAAACCTTTAGGTTTAGTCTTGGTTTTGTAYAGCAGATGGCTCATCAGTGACCAYTGAATGACAGTAATAACTGAAACAAATTTTCTTGCCTGTTTCCAAGTTAGAAAGCAAATACAAGTGGAGAAACAATTGCCTGGAAATTAGAARTGTSTCTTACWTCCGTTTCTTCAAAAATGCTTGAGGCAGTTCACTGGTGATATTGCAATAGATCCAGGTTTTGGTGCCTTATTAAAAAAGGGGGAGTGGAGGTGAGATTTCAGTTGCTGTGTATGGTTTTTTGTTTGAGTTTTTTATGGTGTGCTGCAGTGGCTGGTATCAGTGTGGTAAAAATTAAACTATAAATMGGTCCAATTGACTTGGTTTGCTTAATGGTTTACATGGAGTTGCAGCTTGCTGACATTATAGATACAATGCCGTTACTTTGTTGGCTAATACTGTTTTTCCATAGACAGAACTTGAGTTCACCATTTGTTTTCAGCCTTCATTACTCTGGTGTTAGCAGGTCCTCCTTAATCTATTTAATTATTTTTATAGTAAAAAAGGACAAATTCCTACACTGAGTTTACATGTTGCTGCTATGGACCAAGATTTTTGCTTTTCTCTGAGTGCTACCTCAGTACTTAAGCAAAAGAGATATTTGCACTCAAAATAATTCAGATATTGAGCTGGCATATGGGAAAAAGACAATCTAGACAGAATGGGCAAGGCAGTGTTATTTCACTAAGCTTTACAGGACTGAGCATTAAAGATTTTGTAATGCAAACTTATTTTTCTGAGGTTGCTTAGCTTTTAGTCTTTTGTTGTGACAGCAAATATTTGGACTGATAATGGAAATACCTGACYTAGAATTTGTTTTACTCTTTTAAAGGGACATCCTGAAAGGCAGCAATTAATTTACCTCTTTGTATTACGGCACATGATCACGTTACAAATTATATTTAGTAGAAAACATTCCCTGCYTTTAACAGGAATATTGAAGTCAGTGATTTAAGGACTGGAATCCCTCTAAGTTAGTGGAAGCAATTCAGAAATGGTTAGCAAAATGGACCAGAGTGGGGCTGATCTTTATTTATTTGCTCTGATTTTCTTAGAATATTGAAATGATTGAGGAACATGTAGGAAAATTATTCTTGTTATAGACTCTTTGTCTACTAGGTTGAGATTACTTTTACATTAAACTAATTGTGTAGCTCACTAAGAAATAACTGGAACAAATAGTTACCTGTAATTCTATACTATCCTCCAGTTCCTGATGTTGGGTAAAACAATCAGATGCACATTAGGAATTAAGCTTTCGTTTTGTTTTCAGATGATGAATGATGATTTAAACTGAACAATTACAGTAATAAATCTTCAGAAACATCATACTAGATGTTAACTATCCCTTCCAAAAACATTGTCAAAAAGCACATCATACAGATAAATTCTATGATTGGAGAAATATTAATTCTTGAAGTGTATTAAGTATTTTATCGTTGTTTTATTTGTTGGAGTGTTAAGGCTTCAYAACATTACAAAAAACAATTACAAAAATTGACCTTTTTAAAAATCTTATTTAAAAATGCATAAGCATAAACTGCAGCAGCCTACTGTCTGAAAAATACCACTCTGGTTCAGCAGATACTCTAAATCACATTATCAGTGGGACTGCAAATGAATCCCTTACATAGTAATAAAACTGTAAATGTATAAAGTCTTTGCTGCTTTCAAACAAAAATACTTCTAATACTTTTAAACATGCTTCTTTGCTGCTTCAGATACAGCCTGTCAGCATCTGCTTAAATGACTGAACATATATTCCATTGTTTTGGATTAAAAACCTTGATTCTAGGCTAGCATGACAGCTTCTGCTGTGGAAATTGAATGTCCTGAAAAGCAGTGTTGCCTGCAACATCAGGAGAAGACTCTTTATGTAGCTTTCGTGTGAAAGGACCAGTTTGGTTCTCGTTGAAAAGACACTTTTAATGGTTTGTGGTTGGTCTGTAATTGTCTGTGCAGTAAAACTAATTTTATRGTCATCAGTCTCTTAGACCTCACTGAAATGGCCCACATAGTTGAAGTTGTGCAAATTAACTTTACAGGTTCTGGGTACACAAAGTACTGGATACTGTTAACATTTTCCTTGCATGTATTTTGTTTAAAATGTGGCTTTGTGGACAATTTCATGATAATAATGCCATTGATAAAAATGGAGAAGCTAAAGAAATGAGTGCATAGTACCAGTCAGAACTATTTAAGCCAGTTATTTGTTCACATTGTGTCTTTTAAGGAACTTCTGATTTCTGCCGGACTGGAAAAATAACTTGTTCCCTATACTGGAGTGGAAGAACAGGAGAACATTCAGTACCCTCTGTTCCCATGAAAGCATTATTTATTAAGAAGCAGCTCCTATCTAATGATGTAGAAACTGGGAACATAAATGAATAGACTGGGCCATTTTCAAGAGTTAAGCATAAACCTGTAACTCATATGCAAGTAGTCCAGTGACKTTAATAAAGACTTTTCACAAGCATTTCACATACATTATGTATGTATTCATAACCTGAGCCATAGCCGTTATYCCATAGCTCTCTGAAGGGTAAATGAACAATCTGTTTGTAGCTTCTAWGCTGTTTTGACATTATCATACAAAATTGAGGCTTTATAAACATTATTGTTAATTACACAGTATGAATAAATTACTTTCTCTGAACAAATTTTTAATGGAAGCAGTCAATTCCTTGTATTTTGATTTTGTGTTGAGGCTTCAAACTGCTCCTTCTGTCTTACTGTAGATTGTGTCTAGCAAATAAATATTCAGAGATGGAAAGTCACTGATAAATTCCTGAAATTTCCAGCTCCTACTGTAGGCCATGATTGTAAGGCAGCACAGAGTCATATGACTCTCACACCAGCTTGTGTCAGGTACTAATTCTACAGCCACACTGTGGGTGATGTATATGCCAGTAATGCTAATTACAACTAGCAAGACYGCATTCCTTTCTTCAAAGAAAGAGAAGGACTAGGCAACTTATGACCCATTTCCATTTTAAATAGATGCTATTTTCAGAGAAGCCTGTTTGAGCTGAAGCCTTTGAGCTCTTTYACTATCAGGCAGGTTTAGGAACAGAGTTCTCCTCATACTGAAGCTTCAATTTGCCCTTCTTAAAATGAAACTTCACCCCAAAGCAATTAAAACACCATTTTACAGTATTAGATGACACTACAGTTTTAAGGGCAAAGGTTGGGTACAAAGCACAGATAAGCAAACTACTTTAATTTTAAGGGTTTTGTTTTTTTTTTTAATTTCTTTTTAAGTCTGACAGTTAAAAAGCATTCTTTGGTGTCAGTAATTTGCCAYCCCCATGCTGGCAGCCAGACTATTCACTAGCACTTCCAGACTTCTTGACAGTTTTACTATGGGAAGTTGACACCTCCTAACTGAACTGTCAGTGTAGGCAACAGCAAATTTGCTTTTGTGGTAGTTTTAATAGTATTCCATTCATCAGTGATGCTCTGCAGGGAGTTAACTAAACTACTGAATGCTTGTCTAAATAAAATTACAGCACTTGCATTTRTTCTATAGATAACTGTGTTCCTAGTGCATAGGTTTAAAAAGTAACTTGTGGTAATAAAATACAGCACTGAAGTGACTTGTTCAAGGCACAYGCTCTATAAAAATTCTCTCACTTCACTTTTTTCCATGAACCTTTTCCAGTGCACGTAAATGAAACATTGCACTCATTGCGTGGAATGTGATACCCCTTCAGCACAAAGGGGGGTGGTTTGAAGGGTTTCGGGGTTTTAAAGAGTTTTAAGTGACAGACCAGTAATTTATGCAGCATACTGCTTAGATGCAAACTTCAGTATGTGGAAGAGACACATCTTAAATGTGCTATTCTTGACTGGTTATTCTTACTGGACTATCTACAGTTCACCTGTTTAGTGTAGTCCTGATTTTGTACACRAAACTTGATGTTGTGGACTTCAAAACACATTCTAGATACTTATGTGTGCAAAATTTGTTGCTCACAGCTGTTTTCCTTTTTAATAATTTCCTTAATCTTTACAGGTCTAGGAAACCAGGAGGATCTTTTCCTGTAACAATGGCAGCAAAATCATCACTCCTTAAAGTAATACTGCTAGGAGATGGTGGAGTTGGGAAGAGTTCCCTTATGAACAGATACGTCACCAACAAGTTTGATGCACAGCTGTTTCATACAATAGGTGTGGAATTCTTAAATAAAGAGTTGGAAGTCGATGGACATTTTGTTACAATGCAGATATGGGACACWGCAGGTCAGGAACGGTTTAGGAGCTTGCGGACTCCTTTCTAYAGAGGTTCTGACTGTTGCCTGCTAACCTTCAGCGTGGATGACTCGCAAAGCTTCCAAAACTTAAGCAACTGGAAGAAAGAATTCATTTATTATGCAGATGTCAAGGAGCCTGAAAGTTTTCCATTTGTGATACTGGGTAACAAAGTTGATATTGATGAAAGGCAAGTGTCTACMGAAGAAGCCCAAGACTGGTGCAGGAATAATGGCAACCATCCATATTTTGAAACMAGTGCAAAAGATGCCACTAATGTTGCAGCAGCCTTTGAAGAAGCTGTTAGAAGAGTTCTAGCCTCTGAAGATAGATCAGATCACTTTATTCAAACAGATACAGTAAACCTTCATCGGAAACCAAAACCCAGCTCATCCTGTTGTTGACTTAAATTTTTTTGCCAAATTACTGTTGACTAGCTTGCTCTATAAAAAAAYGGGGAAGGTGTAGTAGATAAAATAACAAATGGGTTTCACTCTAATATTAAAATCATAATATTCTGCTGCTTTCATGGGGGAGAAAAAGAAAAATCTCCATTCATGAGTGACCTGTTACTGAATTAGTGATGCTTTCTGTTTAGGAAGATGTCAAGTAAAAAAATAATATAAGAATGTAATTTGCCAACTTYATTCAAATGATAAATACTTTGAATATAATTAAAACTTGAAAGTTCTAGAAGCACTACTTTTGAGAAGCTGTTCTGGAATTCAGGCACAAAGATACTTTTATATGTCTATATTTTTATGAAATCGGCATTCCACTTTTGTYTTGTTAGATGTCAGTTTCCTAACAATGCTAGATATTAAACTTCAGTCTCACTACATTCCTTTTGCTGTGAGTGGTACTTCATCTCTAATGTGGTTATTGTAAGTTAATATAAATTACCTCCAGAACTTCTAATTGCCTAATGTTGCTGTAATTTTTGTAGGTTTTTAAGTAGGAAATAAATTTCCTACTCATGTCATGTCCTTTTTCATCTACTACTCTAATGCTGCACTAATTTTTCCAGTGGTTTAATGCAAAATACCAATCATTTTTAAAGTTAATGTGTGTCTTTGCCTTAAGTCCATTCTAGCATGTTTCTGATCAATAAGGTAAAAAAAATCTGAATAACTGAAGTATAACAATTTTTTTAAAAAATGGTTTATTCAGTCAGCTTTAATAGCACTTAAAAGGATTCACATTATGACAGTTTTTTAGGAAAACTTTTAGTGTACAGCCTTAAGTTTCAAATGTCTTGTTCCTGTTAACCTGAGCTATGAATGTGTTTACCAGTAATATCTGCACTGTGATATTAAGGATTGGCAATACGTAGAGAACTCAGGAAGCTCTTGACTTACAGTAGATTTTTGACAGCTTTCAGCCCTAATACAGATATATAACTATAGACAGTGTTTCAGATGAATTTGATCCTTATTTAAATTGCTATTTTAGGATATGGACTTGTACATTTAAGATAATGTCTTTTGTATCACTGAATTCATTTCATAATGATGAACAGAAGGAAACTGTTTAATGGACTGTCTTTTTTGCAGTCATGCAGACAAAACCACAGGTGTATCTGAGGCTTTCAGGTGCAGTTTGAGTGGTAAAATACTTGTATGAGAAATTGTTCAATATTGGCTCTCAGAGTAACCACTCTTCTTGCAATAGCAAAATTGTAATCTGACTGCTAACAGGCACACATGTGAGAAAGGAAGTCTGAGGCTGCAGGACAGGTCATGTAATTAATTAAACAACTGCTTTCTGTACAGCAACCTTTTTGTTCCAATAGAAGTCTGTCTTGAGAGTACATTGCCAGCAAGCATTTTATCTTAAAAATATCTGATCAATCAGTACCAGGTGTAATTAATTTGGAAGTAAAGCTTGAAAAACAAACCCTTCTTGTCGCTCTTAGTACTTTCCTGAATGTATTGTATTCTTGCTTGAACCTGTGCAGGATAACTTTACTCTGCAGGTATGCTACTTCTGCTTAAAAGTGACATCCTTTTACCTTTTGTGCATTCCTAAATCTTATTTATTCGTGCAGTCCGGCATCTACACCAACAAAACTGTGTTTTATACTTCAGTTCCTGAGCAGTTAAATATAGATTGAACTGCTACTTCTGTTGTGTTTAATTTCTAGTCAATGAATTAAAGGATCTGTGAAAAAAATCTTAGCTAAATCCCTCTTAATCTTAGAATGAGTGAGCAAAAAGCTTTAGAAATGAAGATTGCTGTGTTAGGGGCTACTAAGCTATTGACATGAAATTGTTCTAAAACTATTACCTTACTACTTAAAGCTTCCTTTAACATTCATCTTAGCAGAGATTAAGGTTTGAACAAAACAGGAGCTGAAGATTTTGTGACTACAGTACTGTACATACCATTCAGATAAGCTTGCTAAAAGGAAAAAATGAAAGATAAGAACCATTGTGGTCCTTCTTGTGCMCAGGCATCCATCCGTGTTTCCCCATCTGTCCCCTTTCCATTAACAGCATGGTTACCAAGCCTRCATCTGAGAAGCAGTGGTTTAATAAAGTTAAAACATAATCCCRTAGAAGTGTATTACTCATGCCCTGGGAACTGCTGTACTACAACKGTACACTAATCACAAAAGTGCCCARYAAAGATAGAGGGYRTATGCTGACAGTATAGGAATTATGTTGAGGTCAGGAATTGTCTCAGAGAAACTACTGAGTGCCTTCAGAAGCAAAAGTATTCTAACAACTAGTTACAGGTGACAGGTATAAAATCATAATGCTCAATAACATTCATTTCTGTACTTGTATATATGGATGTAAGGTAGGTATTGTGACTTACGTTTCAAATCACTGATTTGTTTCAAGAGCTAATGTACCTCCTATATTAGGGGCTCCTGATAGCATTATTTGGATTGTAGTGAATCCAATGAAATGAATCTGTAGATTGACAGAGCATACTGTGTAACAGGTATGCCAAGTTCTAAGCACTTCCTTTAAAATGAGGAGAAAAAAATGAGAGTTGTGGCAGACTGCTGAAAGCTGTGTGAGAACAGAGCAGAAGGGCTAGGGGCAGAAGAACTACCTAGGATAGCTGAAGCTCATGTCACAGCAAACTGTATCAATGCTAACRTAAGCTGCTTCAACAGCTGCTCTGMACCTYGAATGGATCTTCAGGTCATCTGACATGTTACCTAAACAATAATAGAACCTTGTAGAAAGTGAAGTCTGAGATGCATTTCCAGCACAGATTTATTAAACTGATTTATGTTAGCTTGTGCTAACGTTCTCATCTCCTTATGCTTGATTTTTGAGCAACTTAGGTAATTCTAGTCCCTTTAGCTCGCTAACTTTTTATTGCCTTTATTTCATAATGTGGATTGTCTCTGTTTTCTCATACTGCAYAGAGTTTGTTTTGAATTTTTACTCTTAAGCCCCTGAAAAGGTAGGAACATAAACCTTGCAAAGGAGGTGTCTTCACTGASGAACTGTTCACTGTCTGAAGCATGCTGGAACTGCAGCTTTTAGACCTAGAGCTGATTTATGACTTTAGTTGACCACAAGATAATTTTCACTCATCACTTCAGCTTCTGATCTTTTAGCTGTCTGTGATGATTCACAAACTAAAGCATAAACAAGTGTTTGTCCAAGGACAGAGAACTTGGAGCTACCTTGCTAAGGCCCTTCACAGTTCTGTCACAAGACAGCGCTCCTGAACTGCAGACTAAAATGACAAAGGTAATGAGTTCAGACATAATTCTTCCATTCCTGGCCAGTTAACAGTCTGCTTTCACAAAGCCTATGTGGACCTGAGACTGCATTTCCCATCTACAATTTCCTGTATTCAGAAGAAAGGGGGAAAGGTATAAGGAGGGCATAAGAACAGGCACCATTTCGCTAACTGCCTTCAGAGATCARGCAAGAGAGAAAATGCTTTCATCTTAATGTTCTACTGCAGCAACAAAGACAGTTGTAAAAAAATGCACTTTCTAAAAGTGGTGGAAATTGTTAGCATTAATCCATAATTGCCAAGCCTTTTCTTACTGTTGTGTATGTGATCTTTTAACTTATTTCYTCAGTGAATCTTAACTGTTAGTATTTTTCCAACCATCATGCTACAGGAGAGGAGGCAGAAAATAATTCAGCAGCTCCTTATCATATGATCGAGAATGCTTTACCTCAGGTGTTTTTCTGTTGTTTCCATGTATACAGAAAAAAAATCAGTTCATTTATATAAAATTACATGACATTATCAAAGTCCTGTACAATGCAGCTTGTATGAAATCACACTGCAAAGACAAAAGTATTCCCATCTTCACTTGCCACCCCACCAGGTAGTYACTGTGGTTTTCTAGTTTTCTAAATCACTTCAAATATACTCAATAGGCATYCATCCTACATCATCCATGTTTTATTTAAGGTAAATATTGCAACCTTTATATCATGTTATTTTTTCTCATGGGATATTTTACAGCGGCAGCTTAGCGTAAGTACAGAAATAATGACTGACTATACATTTATAGCACATATGCATGYGGTCCCTTTAATTATACAGGCTATGTAAAATGTACTTCTTAGAATAGCATGCCACTTCCTTTGGAAATTACTTTTCAGACATTTAAAAAAAATGTACAAGAAGATAGCTTATACAGATTTGCTACAAAAAGGAACAGAATACTTAAAAGACTGTAAACCCAAACAAAATATTAGGTATGTATATGTCAAACTATCCTTTAAAACTTACTGGTTTGGAATGATGTTAAGTTTTGCAAAGTGGTTCCTAAAACATTTTACAATGGAATAGGAATCTGACAGGCCAAATAATGTTTTTCTGAAACCTCAGCAAATAGAATTTTATGGTTCAAAGATCCTCCTCCAAATTTATTTGCAAGAAGAAAATTTCAGCAGTTGCAGAAATAACAGGAAAAAAAGTTGGTTTAAACATGTATATTTACTTTGGGTTTTTTTTTGTGTGTGTGAATTAGAATTAATGTCAGGACAGATCTGGCTGTTCCGGTCTACCTCATTCATTAATGCAACACTGCAGCTAAATATGCATTGCACTAAATACAGAGTAAATTTGAAATTATAAGCTTTTAAAATTTAAGGTTTTTTTTTCTCAAAATTTCTTGAAATAATGGAGACAGAGTTTTTCTGATCTTTTTATTGACAACTTTATATACATACATGTCCATAAATAGAGGCCTGATTTACTACCACAAAGTGTAATGTTAGTCTGGTTAGTCYGCAGAGTGAGTTCTCTAGTGAAGGAATACAAGTAGGAAAGTTTATGATAAAATTAATCATTTAGGCCAAACAGTCAAGRATTCCCTTTTGCTCATGTTAAACCAAATGACTGGCAACATCTTTTGCATTTACGTCCGATTTCCTCCCATCCTGTATCATAGGCTTACACTTCACATACATATTAACACATAATGWCTTAGTTTCTTCTTTTGTACCTCTGCAGCCTCTGACATTTTAAAACTTTGTTTTCATACCACATAAAGTGAAACTTGAGATACATATTTTAACCAGAGAAGCTTGGCTGTTCTTATCTATATCAGCAAAAGAAAAAGCTGCTTCAGCATCCAATTAGTCAGCCCTTCAGAAGATGAATATCAAACATGCAGGGGACTAACCAGAAAATGTACAGTTCAAACAATCAGGAAAGTAGGGAAAAAGCACTCACTCGGGAAATTTATTTATTCAGCTTAAAAGGTGTTTCTTCCCAAGGAACTGGACTTTTCTTTCAAAGGCAGTGGATCGAATAGGAGAATTGAGTTCATAAAATGGATTCATTGCAAACTGTRGAAAGAAGAAAAACCCATCAGTAAGCACAATGCCCAGCCCTGGAAAATGTCATTGCAGGTGACATCTACTACTAGCTTTCAGCCTATTTAGTGCCACTAAGAGCACAGAACTCCTAAACATGCCCTTGCATTCTCCCCATATACAYGCAGAGCTATCCCCTAGCACCAGCTCCTCAGAACAAGGTGGAAATTAGGATCGTTTGGGAGCCCACAGGAAGCTGAGACGTTATCTTTCATGACCRTTTGCTATGACCCCATCTAGTGGAAGTACCACCAGGATTTCAGAACAAGGGTTATGAGAGCAAAGCTACCAGGCTCTGTAGAATAGCCCTTTCATCATCAATGACACAACACTATCACAAAATGCATCACAAGAAGTTGCCCCACAACTTCTCTGCTGCCAAAGCAGTTGTGGCTGTCGCATCCCTGAGTTGTTCAAGGCCAGGTTGGATGGGGCTTTGAGCAACCTGGCCTAGTGGAAAGTGTCCCCTCCCATGGCAGGGGAGTTGTAACTAGATGGTGTTTAAAGTCCCTTCCAACTTAAACCGTTCTAATCTATCCCATGAAAAATCACTGGACTAATGTGAAGAATTCAAAAAGAGCACAGTTTACAACAATTTCAAAAAATCTATTCTGTTTAATGGGAAATACATCCTTCATCTCACGTGCTAGCAGTTCTGGCTGCTGTGCCCTGCACAGGTGATTATATAGGCCCTCAAGAGAAAATGTGCTAATAACAGCTGTGTCTGAGCATGTACAGCAAAACACACTTAAAAGTACTGCAGCAAAACCATAAAAATAAGTTCTTACCTTTATATACAACTCATATACATCATTAAAGAAGTTCTTAATTCCATCTTCTTGCCTTACATCATGAAGCATTATAAATCTCATATGTACAGTAATTAAGGAGAAAAGAAATTTTCACAAAGAAAACAGAYATGTAAGACATCCTGAGATAAGCATTTACACCTAATTCTGCACATACCTAAAATGTTTAGCTGTACTTGAAATACTAGTGACTCAGGAGGAAGCATTTAAAGAGGTAATTAAAGCAATGAAATTTAGAAAGCATTACTTTTATATTTTAACATCATCCTATCTGAAAATAACCACCTCTCTAGCCAAGACTGTTCTTTTAAAAACCATGTAATCCTGAATGTGGATGATGCTCTCTGCACCTTTGCCAATATAACCCTAAAGTTACAATGTTCACTATTACTTGCTATGTGTAACAAATGTTTCACAACAGTTCTAGGACCACCTGCACATAATACTGAGCCYTAGCACTGCATTTTCACCATTGGTGTGACTGACACTAGGCATATTCCCTACCACTTCTCCTCTCTAGCACGATCAAAGGAGTGGGAACAGGGAATCATTAAAGCTTGCTCAGAGCCTCTCACCCTTTACTCCATATGAGCTCCACATTCCATAATACTATTTTAGCTCCTCCACCTTTCCAACTGTTCTCAGCTGCTATGCCTCCCAGCATAGTTCTTCCTGAAGTGATGACTCTAACAAACTAGCAAATAGCCAGAAAAATCTGTTCCAAACTCATTTAATCTAACTTGCCTCTTTCTGGGAAAAGGCTTTTCTTACACAAAATAAAAGGGAAGAGACTAGGGAAGGATATGTCCAGCTGTGACAAAAGCAGAAACAAACCATTCGTTAAACTTGTCCACAGTCTTCAAATACATGTTGTTAGAAAGCCACATGTTTTCATCTACGAGGTCAAGTGCAGCATGGGCAATGAACTGGTTGAGATGGCGATGATCATCCTAATGCATTTCCAAAAGACAGTGGATTAATATTTCAGTGAAAGGAATGAAATATGAACTGTGATTTACTCAAGTTGCTACAGAGCCAGTGTTCAAGTTATGTAACTTGAACATATACCATGCTTTTCTGTCACATATACCATTCTGTAATTAAATGAAATATATATTGTCATGATATTTGGTTTCAAGGAAAAAGAGGTGATAATAAAAAGATCATCACAAAACTAATCTTGAGAGCAACAAAATTAGTAAAGCTTATATTTATATTTCAGGAATGAACTCAAGCATGAATTCTTTTGTTTACTGATGGGCAAACTTCCACCTCTAACTTATTCCACAGTAGAGACCCTCTTAATGCCTTTTTCTCTTCTYTCCAGACATCTGTTTTTGCAATATTTATAGCAATTTGTAAATTGTAAATCTAATATATTGGACTATAAARTTTCTGTCAAATTTGGCGGAACCTGACCCATAGGTTATAAGGTGTAAAAGCTGGGGGACAGATGGGAAAAACAGAGGAGAGGTATGCTGATAACATCACGTACAGATTCTGTTTTATTCATGTTATTAACCTATAARCAAGATAGTTTCATTGTTTGGGGGAGTCTCCTTTTTACATAAACATGGTGCAGAAAAACATCCTAGTTTTTTTAACTAGTATTAAACATATGCTTGCAGATGTAAATTGCATCGCTTCCTACAATAAATTTAAGAGTGATCACAGTGTTTGGCTCAGTTACTTTGTAGACAACCTAGAACACCGGAGGTCATCTGCCAAGAAGAGATACAGAACAAAACCACACGGGAAGCTTTTATTAGACTGGAAAATAGTCTTGCACTATTTCCCATAATAATGGGATAGTGTTACTGCCACTCTCACCTCTCTCTTTTTCCCTCAAATCAGCTTTTACACATCCTCACAGAGTCTAGTTTGAGTAGCCTTATTTATGATGTTTTATTAGTTCAAAATACAGATGATGCCATGCAGTTCCAATCAGTGACTGCATATACTTCCATTTTTAGATATACTCATAGATCCACACATTTTTATTCTGAAGTGTGTTTCTTCTTTGATGTAATATCACTTATGGATGATTTGTWCTTTTCCCACTGGAAACACCACTTACTCAATAGTCTTACATTTCTTGCATTTTCAAACCTTTATTTGTCAATATACGTTTTAAGCTTTCCTTACTCAAAAGCAAGTATGACTAATGAGGATGATTTAAAAATTAGGTACTTTATAACATAAAGGACTGAACAGAGCTTTCAAATTTTTGTTCCTTACTTTATTACTGTATACAAATGCCTTAAAAGTGGCATTAAATAATGAACAGCTATTATAAAACCTCTATATACTAAGAGAAACTACGAAAGCAAAGCTATGATACATATTCTCTAACACAATGCTAACATAATGCAGCAAATATTTAGGGAAGCTGTGTTTTGTGAAGAACTAGTTTAATCTGGCAAAGATTTTTAAGAGACTTGACAAATCCAGAGTTTTACTCCCTGTGACAAGATTTATGYTAAAAAAGCCCCAGAAAACAGTAGATACTACTTTTGATGGTCATGTTTCTAATACACTGTAAAATTATAARAGAACCACAGGAGTCCCACAGGGGGAAAAAAACGCACCTTCGACTCTACTTTTCCAGGAGGCAGAAATTCCATTTCAAATATGGGATTATCATGATGGCCAACTATCACGAAGTAGAAACTTCCAGACATCCTTCAAAATAGCTCTCCTTATGTGAAAATAAAGATATGCTGATGAGTCTATATACAAACTCTTAATCCATGTAGAAGAGCTCCTAAAAATCAACCAGTGTGCTCCCATTCATATTTACCAGAGGCTAAAGAGAGATACACATTAAGGTATGCACATCAAGAGGATGGGGGAGGAAGCTCTTAAAAATTGATGCCCAGAAGTTCAAGAACATCTTTGCTGTGCAGTGAGMGACCACTGGAACAGATTGCCCACAAAGGCTCTAGTTATTCCAGAATCGTTTGGACACAAACTTGAGTCCTGTGCTCCAGGATGACCCTGCTTGAGCAGGCTGAGCCGGCTGCCTGTGGTCCCTCCAACCTGACCGATTCTGTGACTCTGGAGGAGCTGRAGGACAGCCTTGTAAAATGGATCTAGAAGTGAACCTAGGTACCTATACCAATTCCCGCCCAGCTCACTGATGATTTATCCCCCGAGAGCCCCCAGTCACCCGGCGCTGCACCCGCCTCCGAGGACCCGCCTCGCTGACTCTCCCCGGGCCCTGCTCAGAGCGGGAAGGGAAGGGAAGGGAAGGGAAGGGAAGGGAAGGGAAGGGAAGGG